CACAAACCACAACTGCCTGAGGAAGTGCTTCAGTGGCAGTATCCAAGGAGAGACGGCGGCCAAATGAAATGAACCAGACAGTAAATAGTCTATTATTGAGTTCACACTGCTTATACCATAAGGAGGAATCACAGAAAGCAAAGCTGAACGGACCATGAAGAACAGAAAGGTAAGAAACATAGCTATTTCGCACATACCGCCCAAATGAACTTATGCAAACACGTGGCTATTCTTATTACTAATTTCGCATTGCCTAAAGATAAGCTTCCAGAGTCGCTTTCATCAAAAAGGGGGAAATAAACACACGATTCAAACCAAACCTGAAGGGATGCGTTGTGAGAGACGCCTTTGAATACAGCAAAAAGAAATTTGGCTCAGAGATGCTGCCAGTCTGTGACTTCCATTACAAGAGGCCTAAAGCCCTTCTCGATACAAAACAGGCGAGCGAAAAGGAAAAACACTACGGCACCAGTTAATAATACCCTTAACAGCTGGTTTGGCATCAGTGAAACCTACCCTATGCTTAACATAATACATTGTGAGTGCCATGACAATGCTATCCAGGATCAGTTGTAGGGGCCATAGAAAACTCCTCAGAGGGTGGTGGTAAAGCTGTAGTCTGCAAGCAGATGGCAGATAGCATTGATCGGATCCAAGCCCCGATAAGGCTGAGGGATAGATGTGACGTCCTGGAAACTAGAAAGGAGAGGTGAGTGGAAAGGTCTCTCCACCCCGTCCCAAAAGAGAAATCCACACCACTGACTGGTATTGACGTACATTAACGGTCCCAGATGTTGTAATTTAATTCTAACAGCGTGTATCACTAATAATGCTAACTGATGTAATGTTCAATATGCATAAAGGGGTCAGGGGCTGACCCAAGATGGGCGAAGGCTGCATAAGCTCATTCGAGGGCCCTTGACACTTTCATTCATGATGGTATGTGACCTGACAATGAGGTCAAAGGTCACACTTGGTATTTCAAGCACCAGTCGAATAGTTGGGGCAAACTCAGGAAACTGGGTTAAGAGGTTGGTTCTTTAGCGAGAAGGGAAAATAGTGTCTGTGATGGAGAGAGCACATCACTTACCTATTCCTAGAATACGATGCAATGTAATACTGTTCAGCGGTTAAATTATATGCTGCTGACTCATGTTTTCTGAAATGAGATACGCTTGGTCATGGTCAAGCTTCATTGGTCAAGCTTCTAATCTCACTACCGGCCCCATATTCTGACAGCAAAACAAGAAATACAGTAGCTCTACACAAAGGTAGAAGTGGAAATGTTTTTTCCCGCCTAAATCAGCCGTTAGTTCTTTTATTTTGATGGGCGGTGGAAAAGAAAGAGAGCTGGAAAAACACTAGAAGAACGAGAGCTCATCATTGCTGTCCTGACATCATGAGTGGCACTGATCCTACACTGAGGTTCCCAGCTGAGACCTCCAGTCTGCTGAGGGAGCGGGAAAAGCTGTATCTCCTCTGGAAGACAGCCATGACAAACAAAACATGGCCTGACCCTTCAATCTCCAAACCCTGCTCAAGCCAAAGCACTATTTATACGCACTCAATAACTCAGTAAAAGGAAATGGTAATGAATTCGACATAACAGCGCTCTTTGCACGTCGTACCAAGGCACTAAAAATATACAACAGAGCAGGTTGCTAATAAGACTGATCAAATATAAAATGGAAGCCTAATCTCTATTCCTGTCATATTCCTATGGCATGAAGTATCTAAATATCACACGCTTTCTCAGAGGGATAACCATCTGCCAGCCTTCGGCGCACACTTATATAAACGTACATACTAGAAGAAAAGTCAACGGAGAAACAATTTTATTATCTCGTCCTCTGATCTGATACAGTCAGCTTCAAAACACTTCAGGCCTGACTGCCTTTATTGTGTGAGTTTGACGTCTCTGCAGATTTGAGGTGCAGAAAGAGCTGATAATGGATTGGAAGGGTAAATTAAATAACTTGTGTTTTATGATAAACTCAATCAAAAAACTATCATTGTCTGTCCTAGGAGTGATATTGAAGGAAACTAAAAAGACAAGTAATGAGAATCTACAAGCCTGCTATTCAAGAAAAAGAAAAATGAAACTGCAAACTGGCAGTTAAAGCTGATAAATTTGTAGGGGAGATGCTTTCGGGCAAGATTATTAGTTAATAATCGTTGAATGTATGGAAGGCCAGGGCTAGCTGTCACATGGGCAATATTACAGTTTCTGAGTCAAAAGTCAAGAGGTTTGTATTTTCCTTTAAAACATCTACTTCAAAATCCCCCAAAAATATAACTTTAAATTAATATTAATAAACTAGTAATATTAAATTGTTTTGTTTTTTTCGAAAACACAAAAACACCATTGGGGCAAGTTGTCACAAAAGGTAAACTGTATATAGACCTATTTATACATCTTTAAGACTTTAAGGCGATGTCCAATACAGAAATTGACTTTCAAAAATGAGCCAACCTTATGTAATATTTACTAGAACAAAAGGTGTGACAACTAGCCCCGGTCTCCACTATTATAAATGTAACTGACTACAAATGCTCTAATTGTGACGTACTGTAACGTGTGGGAAAAGGCGCCAAAAGTGTCTCAGCACACAGCGCCTCGTGTAGAGTGGGCACGGAGCTTTAATACAGCCCACTCCACACCGGCAGAGAGACTCGAGAGGAGGCTGGCACTGACAAGCTCGAAGGTGAGGATGTCAGGGATATTTAAAACATCCGTCAATCACGGCAAAGGCCGAGTGCGCGGAACATAACGACTCAAAGCGAGATTAATTCTGACATGGCGCACTTCGTTTCACACAGAGGCGAACCACTTTGACATAAAGGTGGACGTTTACGCCTATAACGTTGAGATTCATGCTATAACATCACTTCATAAGACAAACTCCATCAAACTACCAGAGACTCTTATTGGTAGTATGATACGAGTGCCACATACGCAAAGTCTGTAGCTGTAGTTTGTTCACTGGATTACTTCGGAAAAACAAGCGTTTATCCAAATGTATTGAATTAGATTATATCAATTTAAAAATACACCGGTGGTTATAGATAACATCAGACCCAACTTTTATGAGCCGATTGTGAATCAAAAACATACAGCATACAGTGTGGTGCGATTCCCCCAAAAAATCATTTTTAGCTGATTCCTTTTAGTGAAACATGAACAATTGTCCAACGAATGAGTCTTATTAGTCTCTTTTTTGTAACTCAAATATGCATGAGCTGTGTAAACAGTTATATTCAGTCAATGAGCAAATTAAATATATTAATACATTTTGTTCGCAGCTTCAATAGATCATCGAGTTAGTTCCAATAATTGCTAGAAAACCTGCGTAAACAAAGTTTTTGCAAGACTTATTACATTTAAATCTGAAGCTCTCATCATTTGTCAACAGAGCGCTATGGACAGGTAAACGTGGATTCATTTTTCCAAATATTTCTTTCTCAGAAGTACTAAAAGATTCGACAGTGCGTCCGTTAAGAAATGCGAACCGTTAAGAAGAATCGGAACCAGAATCGCTCGATTCCTTAGAATTTCCATCACCTATAAAAGAAACATACCATACCGTGAGCTACTTCAAGAATGCAACTGAAATGAAACGGCATCACTACGACCCATTCGTTATGCTCAAAAGGCACGTGTTTTATATAGGCAACAAACTCTCTGTAATATGGAAACAAGTGTTTAAAACACGTAACTTTTAGAGAGATGACGCGCACTCGCAGTTGTCTGCTTATTTCACCACAATAAACCTTTAAGTCCAGTTACGAGTGATGCTGACTGGGTGGTTGAAGTGTACGTTTAAACGACCAATTTTCGATACATGTTTTGTGATTAGGCTATTCACCGACTTCTCTCATGCAACACATTTACGTTCTAAATACACGTAGGCTATTCTTTCCAACATGAAGCTCTTTTCAATTATATGAAAAACCAAAGCCAGTATCGATCCCTCTGTGGAAGGACGCCGAGCTGGAATGCTCAAAAACGTAATCTTTCAGCTCACTTACTGCAAGCAAACACAGACGAGTCTACTTTTTTTCTTGAAATCATTATTAAAAGCAAAACATCACGTTAAAATGTGTAATAAAAATACTTTACTGTCAGCTTCCAGTGAATGAAGCAGAACATCTCGGGCATGCACAAAATAAGCATATAAACACACAGTACCTTCGACTGTCAAACAGTTTCCCGCCTCACCGAAGAAAATATATTAGTGTCTGCTCAACCAAATGTCATTTAATCGTAATAAAGATTCTGAGATTTGAATTCATCTAAAGGACCTTTACAGTGAAGACTATGTAGATATTACATTGCAATTAGAAATTCGTCTAATCGTAGATTAGAGAGATTGTCTCTCCTGCAGCCCAACAGTTCTAACCTACATCCAATTTTGCCGAATTCCCTTCTGAATTAGTCTTGGCGAGAATTTACAGACAGCCAACCCACATACTGTCACATTGATACTGACAATCCAAATAACTGAACAACTGAGAGGTGTTGGACAAAGCCTGGTTTATATATTTAAACACACCAAACCTCCCTCCCTATGCAGTTAAGCGTATACCTAAAAGTGTGATATGCAGTAGTAGTAAACTGAGCTATCCAACAAACGCATCGTTTACATTCTGCATATTCCCAGAGAACGCCCCTGTACCCACATAACCTGCTTGTTACTTATTTCAGTAAAGCAATTAAACCACAGGGAATCTAACCAAGTTAGTCATCCACTATTGCTGCTCAATGCAGATATCTTCTTGTTTAATGCGTCAGTTAATAGACACTGAGGTGTCAACCCGCATATAAAATGTTCAGATCGCTCTACTCGGCTGTTCCGACGCAATCAAGTATCGATACATTCTCTGTGAACGCCGAAGATAACAGCGCTCGACACGCATCCGAGCTCAAAAAAATGCATTTCCCCCAAAAACAAACTGCTTTGAAAAGTCACGCCTGTGCGTAAAGAACAGAGGTTACTTACTTGTGCTCTTTATGCCTTGGTTTATTATCCTCGCCATGCGTAAAATCTCAAACTTGAGTACATTTTCTCGGCAGCAGTGTGTAAAGCTCCGCTTGCACTTTCCGAGAGTGAAGATTCTCAGCACGGCATGAATGAGGAGGAATGCGGTCCGCGCGTCCTGATCGAGACGCAGCCTCGTTTTGAGTCTCAGGGAACGCGCTGCCTGATACATATATCTCGCGTCGCGGCCAGGCGGCGACATTGAGCGCGTTGGAGCCTGTGTGGTGAAATATACAGTTAGTCTGTAGTCTTGAATACCGGTCCGTTGCACCACCTGTCGATGTATCTAAGCACATTTATTACAATCACACAGACGACTGTTTGTTTGTCTTTTGTGCATGTCAGCCAAGCATAAAGTAAAAGCTATGTATAAAATAGATTTAGATGAGTACTGTAATACCTCCATTAATCTAAGCAATTAGAAATTAGACAACATAATTAAATATTCCCTATATGTGTGTTTTTTAATAAAAATGTTTAAATGAAATGGAGGGTTGTAGGCTTACAATAATTATTTTGAACAATTATAGGTTTCAACGGGCTTTTTAAACATCTGTAATGATAAAAAAAAATATATATATATATATATATATATATATATGTATATATATATATTACAAGTACACGTTTTTCACCTGCCACCAAATAGACCTTGACGAACAGTAGTCACGTTGGCGAGATGAAGTAAATATAGCAACCGTACACTGTCGAAATGCTCTCCATTGTGATCAGTTTCTGTCTGTATGTCAATATATATATAGTAAGGGGGACAATAAGGGAACCTTGACATAAATGTGTGACCAGACCAGAACACAAACATATAAAACATAATAAACAATTATTTAAAAACAATACTTTGCCAAAAAAAGATAGTATCCATCCAATATTTACTTTATATGGTATTATAAATCCTTCGATTACAGTGAGGTTAGGTTCTTGTTTGACCAGTGATAGACAAAGACCATGTTATGTTAGATTGTATTTGACCACCCGCTGAGCTTTACAATCCCATCATCCTACTGCACACATAACCTTCCTCAGAAAGAAACCAAAGCTTCTCTGATAAACACTGTGGATTCAGGATCAAACTTGCACACCCACTGGCAAATCCACTGCTAGACTGAAGATGAAGTCTGAATGCACAAACAAGGCTGTCAGAACAGGCAAAACTTAGACTAAAATAAACTTCAGCTGAAATTCTATTACCTTTATAACACTGGTTTGCATTGTTGTATTTCTGTAGACAATTTTGCAGTGATGTGAGTCTTTTCTGGTACATCATCACTGATTGCTTCACTGGACATATGCTTCAAGCTGTTTACAAAAAATAACAGTGTCTGCCCTTGTTTTGTCCTTCTAAGATGCTGTCTGACCAAAAAAAGTGACAAGTTTACAAAAATACATATAGTATAGTGTGTTGGTGACAATATAATAGGCCTGTGACCATTTCACAAATGAGGAGATTTATAAATGTTTTAGGCAAACACATTTTTCATGTCAGCAAAACAAAGCACAGCGGAATCTGGCAGGGTGAGAAAAATGACAAAATCTGTGAGCATCAGGCTGAAGTGCTCCGAGTCTCAATTGTTCACTGATTTCCAAAAGGTAAAGGAACTTTGAGGACTAAATGTGAACAAGTTTGTTGCTGTTGAATGGTGGAAAACAAACAGACTGGTGGTCTTCCATTTGCTTACTAAAGTGAGAAGAGAAGGTTTGTGTTGAGCTGGAATTCAAAGTTTGTTTCTGTCAATTGAATTTAACAAAATTCATATACTATAACATGGCCATTTTTAACTATAGAAAACTTTAAATGTTGGCTTGACGAAGTCAAAAGTTTTCAGTTTAAAATCCTTTAATGTTTTAGGGTTTATAGGCCACAAATATAGATAGATTACTACGAAGTAATATTGACTACAAAGTCTATACACATTTCCTGCTCATTTCTTTGGGATTATCTGTACACCCTTTTATAGATCCAATTTGTTGCATGCTAGTTTATTTGTGAAATAGCATTGATTTTAGTTGTGTCTGCCCCTATACATCACAAAAATAACAACTGTTATTGTCAATTATTAAACTGCTAAATTGACGTTCTTGGCCAGAATAAACTACAGCGAGCATCAGACTTTAAACCAAGAGTCAAACGTTTCACTTGTAAGACTAATACCACCACACAAAATGTACATCATCAAGCCGTGCCAGTCAAATCTGCCTAGAAATCACTGAGTAATTCACAAGAGCACACTGAGAAAATGGAATGAAATTGAAGGGCTCCTACAGACCGACTCTTTCAGAGTCACCGAGTTCAACAGGCAGTATTAATCTGTACATGAGATAGGAGACCGGAGAGCTTCTACAGGTGTTGATCAGGTGCTTTTAAAGGCAGATGCGGGATGACTCAGGTCATTCAGTTGTTGGCCTTGCATCTTAAAAACAAAGTGCTCTGAATGTAAGTGTGCCGCTCCTCCCTGGGGATGTTTGCAAGGTCACTGGCATTAAGAAAGTCTGACTCAGATTGATTAGGTCTAAAACTTTTCTCTCTAACTCCTGGAGTTTTGGTGAAGCAGGTGGTGATCGCAGGGATATTAGTCATTTTCTCTTTTATCCCTAACATACATCCTCCTGCAAATGAAGACAAGAATGTTCCCACTTCCCAGTGTATATTTGTAGCCGTATCCATACAGGTCCAGTATGTGGGCTGTAACAGAGCCTCCCCAGTCACCTTTTCAAAACCTTTTAGAGAAACATGGATTTGGAGGCCTGCTGTGATGGCTGTTGCTTTTGCAAACACACAGCTGTAAGTTGCTCCCTGCTCTCTGCCTCCAGTTTTATGTCCCGTGGTTCACAGCCACACATTTCCTTGCAGGACATTGTTCCACCAAGCAAAGTCTTCCATACAATGCTAGACTACTTGCGGGGCTCATGGCATATCTCTCCTGGCCAGTGCCGCCTTGATGTCAGCCATGCATCTCTTTCACATCCACTGCAACACCCAATCATAATTAAAATCTTGTGTGGAAGCGGGAGCAGGGGAAGCTAATTAGGGACAAACACTTTCTTTTTCTCCAGCACAAATCAAAAAGAAGAGAAAGGACCGGCTGCTTCTGTACCCCTGTGATGTGCGGCTGGGGCAAGTAGGAGGAACCGGCGGAAACAGAGTGTGTGTTTTTTCCCTCTATTCTTCAAGGTTTTCTTTTTTTTGATCATGTGGAGCATCACAGACATGCTTTTACTTCTTTGCTCACGTTGCAGTTCTGTGTGAATTAGGTCTGTCTAACTCACTAAATGATTGGAGCGAGGACAGTAAGGAGCAGAGAGCAAAGGAGCGTGGGCGTGGGGACACTGTCTGGTGTCTGCATCCAGAAATAAGCTTTGTTTTGTTCCTCCCTGGCTGGGTAATTAGATGTTAGACTAAGTGTGTTTTTGTCTAATGGATGTATGTTACATTTGTGATGTACAGAGCCTTGTTGTCCTTCTTTACACTGAGCATTAAGTCATTATGTAAAAACCAATATATCAAACTTCATTTATAAATAGCTAATTTTATATATCTGATTTTTTATTAGATTTTTTTACACTTCCTGCTCTTCACACGAAAGTCAATATTATTGATACGGAAGCTAGGAATAAAGCATGTAATGCAACTCGAAGACATACTGATGATGTTACAATAATATTTGAGGAAAAGTCTCAAATTTAGATGGTCAGCAAATACAACAAATGACCTCGCTTTGCGATATGATCTCACAGAGATTGCACACACAAAGTGGCTGCATTCATACACTCAGAGTTTGGGATTCACAACTGTAGGTGTAACTCTCGAACTGTCCCATCATGCAGAATACAGAAGGGATTCCAATGCAGTTTTGTGTGAATAACTAAATAAAAAATGCAGTTGTGAGAGATAGTTCACCAAAAAAATTTAATTCTGTCATAATTTATTCAACATCACGTTGTTCCGAATCTGTTTGGCTTTCTTTATCTGTGCAACACAAAAGATATTTTGTCTCAGTGTTGTTGTTGTTTACAATGAAAGTCAATAGGGTCCAACTTTTTCTAAATATCTTGTAAATAATGCAACATTTTTGAACTAGGTTTAAATGGTAAGTAAATGACAAAAGAATATTTATTCGGGAGTTTTGGGAGAATTTTTAACTTTAAAGCAATAGTTCACCCAAAAATGAAAACTCTGTTATTAATTACTCACCTTAATGACATTCCATAGCCTTAAGACAATAGCAATAGATGAGCAATAGCTTAATGAATTCATTCATCTTCAGAACACTAATGAAGATGTTTTTGATGAAATCCGAGAGCTTTCTAACCCTCCATAAACAGCAACATAGAATGTTCATCTCCAGCTCCTGTGTCAGCAGCACCACACGCATGCGTCGTGGTATTCTCATGAACGTGTGGCGAAGACTGGGAAGTGAAGAAATTGTTGAATAAAGTCATTATTTTTGTTTTCTTTGTGCACAAAAAGTATTTTCGTAGCTTCATAAAGTTAGGGTTGAACCACTGATGTCATATGGACTATTTTAACGATGTCCTTACTATCTTTCTGGGCCTTGAACGTGTCAGTTGCATTGCTGTCTGTGCAGGGTCAGAAAGCTCTCTTCTGAAGGAAGGTCTTTGGAACGACATGAGGGTGAGTAATTACTACTAAAATCATTTTCATTTTTTGGGTGAACTAACCCTTTAAGGGAGTCTGAACCAAAATTTGTGTGAACATACCCATCATTTGACCCTTCTCTAAGCTCCACCCCTTGGTTGCATGAAACACACAGATGGAGGATCTAACATTTGAAATGAGCAAAAGTTTGACTGCGAATTGGTGGGTAGCAACAGTTAGAACAGGTCAGTAATGTTTTAATGGCAGGGCTTAGTGAAAGGTCGTAGACTGCAACCATTTTAACCCCTACACTAAGATATGATAACCAAGTCAACAACTTCAGATATTAGTTCATGGCTTTTCACATTTGTACAAAACACCAGCGATTTCATCATCAAACTTAAGCAGAGAAAAAGACTACATATGCTTCTGCCAAAACGGTTGTAATTGCTTGCCCAGTCCTGCCCTCGTAATTGGGCAGTGCATCATCTGAATGTCACTTTCTTAGTTT